AAGACCCAAACATGTGTGTTTGTATGCAAACTTTGAGGATTCACTTTCAAAAAATTGGAGAGAACACCCACTCATATCGAAAAGTAGTGTTATAGTGTGAAAAAATGACTCGTTTTGTCCTCTTTCGTGTGTGTATAACATTTCATAGGCAGATAACTTCAATCTTCATGAGATTTGTGCAAGTTGTAGAGATTTTACATAAAGTATACTCTAATGTTCTAGATGAAATATGAAGGAAAATTTTGATATAATTGAGATTTTATTTTTCACCTTCATGTTTGTTGCGCTAATGCCTTCTCTCGTCATGTTCACCCATCTCCTTTTAATCATATACCCGGTATTCTCTAACATACTAAATTTTTTCATTGCCAGGAAAATGAAAAGAAAATATTGCTTTGTTTAAGATACTATACAAAATAAATTTCGTGAAACAAAATACAGGAACAAGTTCTCTAAACAGCTAAAATTAGTTCCCTATGTAAAGGCATTATCTGGGCCTGCTTTTTATGGCTATCATAGTGTTTCCAATGAGTTTTTGTTCGATCGCACTAGATGTAAATGTGGGAAGGGGACCAGCATGACGACAATTGTCACAAACAAATATTTCTCACTGTATGATTGAAATAGATTGCGTATGTAGACATGCATTATTCAATCCACATCTAGGGTGTGAACGTGCAGATGAGCAGTCCCGGTTGTGTATATGGAGCATTAGTGTATGGAGGGATGTATTCAGTTTTAAACTTGAGATTTAATGTTAGATAATGAGGAAATATTGACGGCGCTTTTCATTTATTTGTTTAACGAGTAAAAAAAAATAACAGTGATATTTGAGTGTCGCCAGCGAAGAGGAGCAAAAACGACATAAATCTTAATAAAAATAAGGTAAGATTTTTTACCATAACTAAATAAATTGAAATATACAGGAATTGATAAAGCTTAAATGTTCATGATGCTTACATGTTTACACTGATCAGCTATTTTTTCTGGTCCAGATTAGAACTGTAAACCAATTTATGCAGTTCCGCTGCAGTGATAAAAACAAGAGGCTTATGGGCCTGGTAGTTCACCTGAATATCATGTAACAACTTTCCAACAGTGGAATTTGTTTTGTGTTTTAAACCAGAGGCCATGAAATTCACAATTTTGAAAGAAGCACCATAGCTTATCATAATCATACACTTAGCATGCTTTAATACTGTCGCTACTTACATGTAATACCCAGATATAGATCAGAGTAACAAAGAGAAAATGCACTTCCACTTTATAATAACCGGTTGTGTACACCATCCCACAGGAACCACTTACATGTTCCCTGGGGCAACATATTACAGTTTTTGGAATTTTTATCATATTTTTTTTTCATTATAAATGGTTGATTAATATACCAAAGGGCAGATTTCAAACCAATCTATTTTCAGACTATGTATCCCCCCCACACCGATACCCTAACCCAGGGACATGAAATTAAACCATTTTGCTAGGTATCGATGCACCTTTCTTCGTCATAAATATATAAACCTAGATCATTGGCATAATACCCAGGAGCAAAGGAAAAGATTTTCAAAGAATTAATGTATAATCACTATATAATCAAAAGAGCCCCCTCCTCTTACACCAAATGGCAAAGCACCTGACCCAGGGTCCATGAAATTCACAAATTTGGTTGAGGCACTCTTGCTCATTATTCTAAGATATACTAAGATAGTTTATTTAATACCTAAGAAGGAGAGAAGAAGATTTTCAAAAATATTAATTGCATTTTCACTATATAATCAATAGAGTTCCACCCTAACATCAGAACCCCTAACCCTGGGGCCATAAAATTCACAATTTTGGAATATTCACTCTTGCTCAAAATAACTGTTTGCTTAGTTAGTTTACTTTATTACTCATGAGCAAAGAAGAAGATTTTCAAAGAATTAATGAATTTTCACTATATAACCAAAAGAGCCCCACCCTAACACCTGAACCCCTGACCCTGGGGCAATAAAATTAACAATTTGGGAAAAGGCACTCTTGCTCATCATTATTATGTACTTAGTTAGTTTATTTAATACCCAGGAGCAGAGAAGAAGATTTTCAAAGAAATAATGCATTTTCACTTTATAATCTATATAGTCCCGCCTTAGCACTAGAACCCCTGACCCTGGGGCCATGAATTTCATAATTTTGGTTGAGGACTCAATGGTCATTACACTCATCCCAACGGTTTGTCTGCTTGATGTCCATGAGTGAAGAAGAAGATTTTTAAAGATTTCATTAATATTAGTGGTTTTGGCCCCACCTACCCATATGATAAAATACTATTAGTATTCAATCGGAGTATTCAGTTGACTACTAGCTGATTATCAACTGACCGTCAATTGACCAGTAGTTGAATTTTTGCCTTGCAAATGAGGGAGCATTCAACTCATTTGCATAGAGTGGACCACTGTTGAATGCTCCTATATATTCTTTGCAGTTGACCGCTAGTTGAATACTCCTCTATTTCCTTTGCAGTTCACCGCTAGTTGAATACTCCACTATTTCCTTTGCAGTTCACCGCTAGTTGAATACTCCATTAGTCAGTGCACGTAGGTTGCATGCATTATTTGAAAAAATGGAGGGAGATTTGAAATCTAATACAAGCAGTGCGTGTTCTTGAAAATATGAAAATTAAAGTTAAAACAGTGGAGTTTGGAGTTTCTACATTGACATAAACGTACATGTAAATGTAAATACAGTATAAATGAACTGAGCTGGCACGCTCTCATAAGTTGTTACATGCTTTCTTCATTTTGTGTGCAGGAAAGGTTATATATATAGAATTAGTCTAAAGCAATGGCATATTTTTACCAACACAACAAAACACTTGATGCCTGACAAATTTTCAGAATTATTTTAATATTTTAAAAAAAGTACACAAAAATAGGGACCTAGAATGGCTACAGTTTTTCGTAATCCTAATATCTGTTTAAAAAAATAACAAGCTTGGTAAAACAAATCTTTAAATTTTAAACTTACGTACCATTGTACATGAGATTTCATACGCTGAATCATCACGAAGACAATAATGTTTCAAATCAAAATTCCCACCTTCTACAGATAACACACATGTGCTGGTGTCATAACAGTATTACACTTTGGTTCACGTCAAATCATGGCTGACGCAAAATAATCCCGGCATCTTCCGATTCGGGCATTTTTATACGAGACTGGAGCTGAATGTTTTATGACATGAAAAACAACATGTAAACTTCGTGTATTGACCAGACTTATTAAAATTTAGGGCGTGCTTATTTTTCTGTATACTGTCAAGAGTGGGGAGTGATTAGGCCCTGGACTAGATTTTCAAGCACCTGCTCGACTTCGACCTAAACAAACTTGCGTGCCTTGCTGGATGGCTATGTATTTTTTGGTACTAAAATCTTTATAAAGTATGGTTTTACAAGATCTGAAAAAGAAACGTCTCAAAAGTTTGTTTTGAATTAGTTACATCTACTCAAACTTGCGCAATTTTGGTAAGAATATATAGCAGAAATTAATACTGTTGTGACACCTACTGATTCAAATCTTGGTTGTTGTAATTATGGTATAACAAGCCCGATCTATGATAATTAATGTAATTTTGAACCCAACATAAATGTAGCGTGGGAGAAATTTTTTAACAAGTCGGAGTGTTCAACTAGTGGTCAACTCTTGTTTTGCATGAAACTTTCAAAGTAGTAGCATTCAACTAATGGTCAACTGGCCGTCTTATGCAAATCAGTTGAAAGCTTTTCAGAAAAGAATTCAACTCCTAGTGGTCAACTGTTTTTACATTATCAGTTGACGACTAGTTGACTGCTTGTTGACGACTAGTTGACGGTCAACTACACATTTTTGTATGGGTAAATATGCTAGTATCATAACTCTTAAAACAAAAGAGCTAGGTTCACTTTATGCATAATATGGCCCTGCACTTATATCAATTAATTAACTATCACCCTCTTTCCCGTTTCACATTTCAAAATAAAGTAGAAACTTGGTGCTTTCATTTCCTATAATAAAATTTCTTTTTGAGAATCCAGATATTGGAAAACAGGCTTTGAGAAAGTTCAATGTTCTTGAAATTTGCAGAAAACATGTGTATTCCACTACCTTCAGCAAAGAATTAAAATATGAGCACACGATCCTAAAAACTTAACATGTTTTTGATCTTCATTATGTATTTGCATATTTTGGATCAGAGGTTGTGCTCTATATGAAATATTGAAAAAAATACTTCAACTTTAGGCCATTTTCAAAGGAATTTACAGGATATGAGGAAAATGACGCATTTTATGACATCATAATGCATTGACTAAAGGGAAAATTACGCCATGATTAATAGATACGTGGTCACCAGCACACCAAGTGATAAATATTGCATTTGCAATCTAAAGTGAGCGGTTTTGATTTTTCAGAAATTCTCAGGGCCAAATAAGGCTCTTAGTGGATCTTGCTCTTTTAAAGTACTTTAACACTGTGCAACTTATAGATGAAGGAAAAAAGTAATAATTTTTACAAATTTTGCAACCAAAAAATGTACAATATAAAGAATTCATCTGTCCATAGTTCGGTAAGGGGTATTAAGAAAGTTCGTTCCATGATGAAATGTTTTCGAAACTTTCAAAGAACTGTTTGGGTAAAGAGATGGTTTTTCAAGTTTGACAAAATCACAAGATTGTGCTACATGTACCAATCTATTGCAATTTATTCTTAACAGAAAGGTATAGGATTTGCCTAACACATGACAATATATTTGAATATCTTTAAAGAACCCAGATAACATTCTAGTAAATGCTTGTGATTTTGTGTGAAAGTGTTGGATCATTTATTTTTGTTTCTTCTCACCATATCTTGCATGATACATGTACAATATTGATAAGCTTAAGTATAGAAAAATGATAATCATTTTTCAAAAGAATAGGTTTGTCACTTTAGAATTCTTCTACGACTTGAGAAATACTGGATTTTTTTTTACCTGAAGTGTGTGCTTAATGTACGTCACAAATATGCTGTATTCCTGATTTTTCCTGCACAGACACAATCTGTTTAATACCTGCCTTTTCCCCATTTCCTTGCAACAAAAGACAGTAAAAACTTTATCAATACCCTTCCACCACAAGAAATAGTCCCTCATAAATCTTGCTTCTTTGTGGATGTTTGAGTAGTTTTAGCTCACTTGAGCCTGAGGCTTTTCTGATCACATTTTGTCTGGCGTCCGTCTGTCTGTCTGTAAACTTTTTACATTTTCGACTTCTTCTCAAAAACCGCTGGGCAAATTTCAACCAGACTTGCCACAAAGCATCCTTGGGTAAAGGGAATTCAAGTTTGTTCAAATGAAGGGCCAAGCCCTTATTCAAGGGGAAATAATTGGGAATTCATAAAAATATGGTGGCATATTTTAAAAATCATCTCAAAAACCACTGTGCCAGGAAAGATAAAACTTACGGGGAAACATCCTCAGGTAGTGTAGATTCATATTTGTTCAAATCATGACCCCTGGGGGTAAGGCGGGGCCAAAATGGCCGACCAAAGTTTTACATAGAAAAATATAGGAAAATTCTTTAAAAATCTTCTTCTCAAGAATAGGAAAGCCATAATTCATCATATTTATATGGAAGCATTCTCAAGTATTGTAGATTCAAGTTTGTTCAAATAATGACCCTGGGGGTAGGACGGGGCCAAAATGGCCGATCAAAGTTTTACATAGAAAAATATCGGAAAATTCTTTAAAAATCTTCTTCTCAAGAATAGCAAAGCCAAAATTCATCATGTTTAAATGGAAGCATGCTCAGGTAGTGTAGATTCATATTTGTTCAAATCATGAACCTGGGGGGTAGGGCGAGGCCAAAATGACCGACCAAAGTTTTACATAGAAATATATAGAAAAATTCTTTAAAAATCTTCTTCTCAAGAATAGCAAAGCCAAAATCCATCATATTGAAATGGAAGCATGCTCAGGTAGTGTAGATTCAAGATTTTTAAATCATGACCCCAAGGGGTAGGGCGGGGCCAAAATGGCCGACCAAAGTTTTACATAGAAATATATAGGAAAATTCTTTAAAAATCTCCTTCTCAAGAATAGCAAAGCCAAAATTCATCATATTTAAATGGAAGCATGCTCAGGTAGTGTAGAATCAAGATTGTTCAAATCATGACCCCTGGGGGTAAGGCGGGGCCAAAATGGCCGATCAAAGTTTTACATAGAAAAATATAGGAAAATTCTTTAAAAATCTTCTTCTCAAGAATAGCAAAGCCAAAATTCATCATATTTAAATGGAAGCATGCTCAGGTAGTGTAGATTCATATTTGTTCAAATAATGACCCTGGGGGTAGGGCGGGGCCAAAATGACCGACCAAAGTTTTACATAGAAATATATAGAAAAATTCTTTAAAAATCTTCTTCTCAAGAATAGCAAAGCCAAAATCCATCATATTGAAATGGAAGCATGCTCAGGTAGTGTAGATTCAAGATTTTTAAGTCATGACCCCAAGGGGTAGGGTGGGGCCAAAATGGCCGACCAAAGTTTTACATAGAAATATATAGGAAAATTCTTTAAAAATCTTCTTCTTAAGAATAGCAAAGCCATAATTCATCATATTGAAATGGAAGCATGCTCAGGTAGTGTAGATTCAAGATTGTTAAAATCATGACCCCCTGTGGTTATTAGGGCTGGGCCATAATGGGGAATCAAAGTTTTACATAGAAATATATAGGAAATTTCTTTATTAATTTCTTCCTGAGAACTATTGTCCTCTACAACCTTGTCCCTTAACGTCTGGCTACGTTTGAGACGCAATCTGTCCACATGCTCAATTTGTGACTTTCCTCGTGGTCCACAGTTTACCTTGTAGGTAATGTCTGTCATTTTGTCAAGGACCTCGTACGGACCACGCCAGTAGATTGTAAACTTCGACGAAAATCCCGCTTTCCGTACAGGGAAAAAGACATAAACTTCGTCACCCTTCTTAAAATGCTGCCAGGATAACTTCTGGTCATGATATCGCTTTTGCCTGATCATGGCCGTTTTTATATTTTCCCTAACATGTCTATGGGCATCTTCCATTGTCTCCTTGAGATGCCAAGCCCACTGATTACTAGGGATGTATTTGACTGCATTGGGCATATCGTACATAATGTCAAGTGGGGTAGATACCTCCCGACCAAACATCATGAAGTTGGGAGTGAACCCAGTCGTTTCATGCACTGATGCTCTATACGCCATCATGACGTAAGGCAAATATCTATCCCAGTCTGAGTGGTGTTCATTGACAAAGGCGCTTAGCATAGTGAAAAGGGTCTTATTGAAGCGCTCGACCATGCCATCGCTCTGGGGATGGTAAGGCGAGGTGCGAGTCTTCTTTATGTGCTGTGCAGGACATGGCATACCTCTGAAAAGAGCTCACTCTCGTACTGGCGTCCTTTGTCTGAATGTATACTGGAAGGTACACCAAATCGCGATACTACCTCCTCGACTAAGATCTTGGCAACTGTTGCAGCCTCCATGTTTGGCATCGGGAAGCTTTCCGTCCATTTGGTGAAATAGTGGGATATAACAAGTATGTACTTGTTGCCATTATCAGTCATGGGCAGTTCACCTAGGATATCGGTAGCAATTCTGTCCATAGGCATTCCACTCTAGACAATTGCCATGGGTGCTCTCTTTTTCTTCTGAGGACTCTTTCTCTTTGAGCACTTCTCGCAGCCTGCAATGTAGGCTCTTGTGTCTGCCTGAAGACCTGGCCAATAGTACTTTTGTCGGATGCGTGCCAGTGTCTTAGTCACACCTAAGTGAGCAGCTGTTTCAATATCATGACAGTATTGTAATACTGTCCTACGTTCACTGCTGGGTACTATTGCCTGTAAGCAAGATGACTTGCCACTGTCCTCTTGGTATCTCCTGTACAATATGTCATTCTCAATGGAAAGGCTTTCCCATTGCGACAACAGGGATCTTATGACATACCCAAGTCCACTTATTTCATGGTACAAAGGTCGACTCTTTGTTTGCAGCCAGCCTTTCACTAGTTTCAGGTCCCTGTCTTTGTCTTGCAGTTCTTGCATCTTGTGACACCTATGACACCTATGCCTGGGTTGACAGGAAGAGCTGCATTTACATGTGTCACTGTATTTGCATCTTGGACACTTACTTCATCTGATGCCGATTTCTCCCACCCAGGGTCATAACCACATGGTACTCTGCTCAAGGCGTCAGCATTTGTATGCTGTATGCCGGGTCGATGTTGAATTTGAAACTTGTAGGTACTCAAGGTTTCTAGCCATCTGGCTAGCTGACCCTCGGATTTTTGAACTTGAACAGCCACATTAACGAACCATGATCACTCCGAATCAAGAACTCTTTTCCAAAAAGGTAGTGTTTGAAATGCTTAACGAAATGTACTACTGCTAAAAGTTCCTTTCTTGTAACGCAGTAACAAGTTAGTGTCCTACTGGCATAGGCTATGACATGCTCTTTCCCATCTACATTCTGTGATAGGACTGCCCCAATCGCTTGGTCACTAGCATCTGTGTCTAATGAATGGAACAGTAAAATCCGGATGGGCTAGCACGGGGGACTGAACCAAATGGTTTTTCAGGCAATCAAATGCATCTTGGCACTCTGATGTCCATGCAAATGGTTTCCCCTTCTCTGTTAGAGCATGCAGACACTTGGCAATGGCAGAGAAATTCTGAATAAATCTCCGATAGTATCCACATAAACCCAAAAATGACCTAAGCTCTGTGACATTAGCAGCAATTGGCCACTCTTTTACTACTGCTATCTTGTTTGGGTCTGTGGATACCCCTTGCTCCGAAACAACATGTCCGAGATATGTCACTCTTTTCGCAAAGAGACAGCATTTCTTGGCCTTAAGCTTTAGATTGGCAGTTCTCAGCCTTTCAAAGACTTTTTCCAAATTGTCAAGCATTTGTTCAAATGTTTTCCCAGTGACAATTATGTCGTCTAGGTATATCATACAAATGTCCCATTGCAATCCGGCAAGGACGCTTTCCATGAGGCGTTCGAAAGTTGCTGGGGCACAACTCAAGCCAAACGGCATAACGTTGAATTCGAACAAGCCTCGTCTTGAGGTAAAGGCGGTCTTTGGTTTGTCTGCAGATGCCATTTCAACTTGCCAGTAGCCTGAGCAGAGGTCGAGTGTCGAAAACCAGGTAGACTCAGACAACTGGTCAAGTGACTCGTCAATCCTCGGGAGAGGGTATGCACATGTATAGTGCAACTTTTAAGCGACGATAGTCAACACAGAACCTATACGTCCCATCTTTCTTCCTGACCAAGACTATTGGTGAGGACCATGGACTGTTGGAGGGCTGTATGACACCTTTTTCAAGCATGTCGTCTATGTTTTTGTACACTTCATCTGTCAAGTGAGCTGGTACCCTTCGTGGTCTTTGTTTAATAGGTCTACTGTCACCTGTGTCGATTTGATGCTTAACTTTTCCAGTCCCGCCCAAGCTATTTTCTGCAAACAAGTTGGTATATTTTAACAGAAAGCCTTCTGCCCGCTGGAACTGTGTAGGAGTCATGTTGTCCTTACTCTTATGAAGTAGATCAGACAAATCCTTGCGCAGAACGTTGGTAGTGGCTGATTCCTTATTTACTAGTGAGTCCTTCACTGTGTCTATTTCAGCAAGTTGACCAATTACTGTCCCAGAGTGCACCACCTTTGACTCTTGCTCAATGTTCATGAGTCTAACTGGCACAGTTTCTTGGGGATTTACCACTGTTCTCGCAGTTAGTGTGCTCTGCTGTTTGTTGTACTTGTCAACTGGTTCAATGATACTCTCGCAGTATGGCAGATTTGAACCCTCTGGAACACATACTTTACCAGGAACAATAATCTCACTCCTGGGCGGAATGCTAACTGTCTTACCTGCTGTAATTCTAAAACATCCAAGTGAACCTTCAATCGTCATTCTCTTATCATGACCATTGACATCCAGAACTTCGTTGCTAATATCGACTTTGCAGTGATTTCTTTACATAAAGTCTAGGCCCAGTATGCCATCTGCCTTTAAGTTAGCAACTACTGCCTCATTGTGGTATGTCAACTGGTCAATGCCAATATTGAATTCTGCCTTCCCATGAACAGACAGAGCAGTACCATTAGCGGACATGATGATCTGATTTACCTCATGTAACTTAGGTCTCACAGATGCAGGTAACTTTCTGTATAATGTCTCAGACACAAGGGTAACAGTAGCACCAGTGTCTACTAGAAACTTAGCTTTTACCCCTTGAACATTTACATTTATGTACAACCCACATTCCTCTATAGATGAACCGAGGCCTACGGACACCTGTGGTCCTGATGCTCTTTTTCCATCTCCGTTGGCCTGGTTCATAGATGCTTTTCCAGACCTGTCATCTGACTGTTTTTGCCTTCTCTTTAACTGAGGGCAGTTACGTCTGATGTGTCCTGGCTTTTTGCATTCATAGCATCTTATCTCCTGCTTTCTACCACTTGCCCCTGTCTCTTTGTATCCGTTGTCGTAAGGTCTTCTCTGGTTAGAGACCTTAAGCTCCCTGAGCTCTTCAGTTATGCTTTTCATATTCTCTTCAACAGATTTCATCGAATTAGCAAGTTGGCCACTATTACATTTGACAGTGTCAGGTTGTTCTTCAACAAAAGCTGCTCTCAAATGACCTTTGAGTTCTCTCTCTCTCTTCTCTACTCTGTTCTATGCCTCCAGTTCCACAGCAAGGCTAATTGCTTTATTCAAATTGGCAGGACGTGACTGCTTGATTCTTATGCGGATATCAGAATCAATCAATGCATCGATGAATTGATCCTTTGCCAGTGTCTCACGATCTTCACCTGGCGCAGTTGGATAGGCCAAATTGGTCAATCGTCTGATGCTCTGGCCTAATTCAGAGAGTGTCTCTGTTGGTTTTTGTCTCCTCTCTTTAAGTTGTACCCGGTATAGGTCAGTTTGGTTTGGAGGAGAACCTTTCTCTCAGAGACTTAACAAGTGTCTCATAATGCTGGCCTCTGTCAGTTGGTAAATCGCCAAGGACAGCCTGAGCTTGACCACATAGTGACAAGGCTAGAAACAATCCTTTCTTCTCTTCATTCCAACCATTCACATTGGCACAAGCCTCAAAGTGACACTTGTAGTCCAGCCAGGAGCTTGAACCATCGTATGTAGCTGGCTTGACTGTGTCTGTTTCTTCATCCCAATGACTCATTGTACTTTTCTTTCCTTCTGATCTATTTTCTGGGATGTCTCTCAATGTTCTGTCATAATCAAATGAGTCATCTGAACGACGAGTTGCAAACCCACTGTCACGGCTTGACACTTGGTCATGTCCTTTAGTGATGGGTGTAGACTGGTCAAGGCGATACCTCCTTAGCTTCTCTTCCATTCTATTTAAGGATTCCCTAAGACTATCTTCAATTGATTTATTACGTTCAGCCATAACTCTAGTAAAATCCCGACGCTGCCACCACTTTTGTAACGTGTCGGACTTGAGCGGTCAGTAGGTCCGTGCTCGGATTACCGAGTTTTACTTGGGATATGATTGAAGGCAATATATACAGATAATATAACACTTGCCTAGTGTCTTTAAATCAAGTGACCTAACTAACCTTTATGTTATATATACAATGATACTGACACCTGCCTGGTGCCTTGTGACAGTTGCCTAGATGAACAACTAACTAAACAAGTCAACAGACACCTGCCTGGTGTCTCCTGACTATAGCCCTTATCTGATAACACCTGCCTGGTGTCAGTTGCTAACCAAGTTGTCTATGATCCAGCCAAGTGGCTTTTACACGCTTACACAATACACAGCTACACTGGTAACAAAGTATCCTATGCACTCAACAATAATCAAATCAGAGACTTCAGCGACTTTGCAGCAATTATTATTCGTCAAATTGCACACGCTAAGTAGTAAACTTTCCAAATCGCACACGCCAAGTTGCGCACTGTAAAATAGACAACGGACAGTTGGTTGTTCAACCCTTTGTATTACAACTTGATCAATGATCATAACTTATCAGATACCATATTGATAAAATACAACAAACTGCTTTTCCTTTGGCAATGCAACTATTATTTTCTAACACAGCATTATTTATCAATATTTCTTGTATATTTCTTATGTCAATTGACCAATTAATTACAATATTTACATTGATTATCTATTATAATATAAACAAGTAACGGGAGGTAACTCCTCCAACCATTTCAGTTGAGATGCATTTTTGTCCCACTACCGTACCTATGGGTATTAAGTAACCAAACTAAGCATGCTAAGTGTATAGTTATGATGATGCCTCTTCCATAATTGTGAATGCCATGGTCCCTGGTTTAAAACATGAACCAAATTCAGTTGTGACAGGATTTGGTTTTACCCTCAAACCTAGGTACCACTCACGGCACCAATGTAACCGGAATTCGCTACATGGTATCAATGCAATTTAGGAAATTCCACGATACCAGTGTAACGAAAATGACAGTTTGAAATACCTCTTAAATATATCACATAGTTTCTTTATCAATGATAGTACTTCGCGTTTTATACCAACTTATTAACCAATAAACCTTTTGTATCTCAAATAGTCACGAAAGTGACTTACTAACCCAAGAATTTTAATAACAAGAGTTTGCAAATTAACAAATATTTATTATGGCAACAATTGAATTTATTTAACAGCACAAAAATATTTACATTTATATATTTACAACGAAAACTGATGTACTAACGACATTTTACTTAAAAACCTCAATAAAAATAGAGCTTACCTAACAAATGTACAAAGTCCAGAGCCCGTCCTACCCAAAGCTAAGTCCAAAAGTGACCCACCCCTGCATGAAAAATCTACTATGCCTAACCTAACCGGTTTACCAAAAATAGAAATAAGGAACTGGAAATTAACAATAAACTGGACGTCAAAATAAGGAAAACAAAAAGGACAATATTGAACGAATGAACGAGACAACTATATTGAACGAAACAGAGACAGAGACCGGGATCCACCCATCTTATCAAAAAGTGAGCTGGCACAAACCTTTGAGAGGTTTCCAGGCCAACTGATCCAAACGTGAAATGCTGGACTTTAAATACACCGCAGTCTGAAGGTGTGTCTCTCTTATCCAATCACAATCTGCATTCTAAGAATAACCCAGACAAGGACGTTACCCAAAGTCACAGTATAAAGCTAGAAAGCTTCCGAACGTTCAATAAACGATCGTAACCAATAAGAGTTATCGTTATTTACTAACTTTGTAAAATCCAATTCTACCACACAGTCATAAGAAAGTTGTTGCATGATGCTTAGGTGACCTATAAGGCCCATGGACCTCTTGTGTTTTTTTGGGGGGGTTTTGGGGTTTTTTTTTCTTTACTCATCTTTAAGGCATTTTTTCTGAAGCATAGTTTCAGCATGTAAAGATTGATAAAAGATATCTATCCCAGGTAGCACAAAACATTTTCAAAACATTTTATTGGTGTTGTAAGAAGGTTTTTTCGAAACATTTCAGGCTAAATATTTTAAAAATGTTTTTAAAACATTTCCTCTTCTCATTATAACATTTTAAAAACATTTTAAAAATGTTTTCATGAAGCTTATGATTAAATCCTTTTGGAACATTTTTCTAAAATATTTTTGAAACGTTTTAAAAATGTTTCAAAAGGTATGTTTAGCTTTCAAATATCAAAGATTTTTATATTACGTTTTAAAAACATTCTAAAAACATGAAATGAAACATTCCTTTTCCATAAATCTGAAACATTGCATAAATACATTTCTGAAACATTTGGAAGGAACATTGTCAAAATGTTTTTGAAACATTCTTAATTCATTTAAGGGTATTTATAGCTTCCAAATATTAAAGATCTTATAAAACGTTTTAAAAACGTTGTAAAACATGAAATGAAACATTCTTTTTCTGTAAATCGGAAACATTGCATATACGTTTCTGAAACATTTGTAAGGAACATTTGAAAAATATTTTTAAAACATTCTTAATATCGCTAATATCGCTGTTAGTTAAAAACATTCACATTCCGGATATTTTTCGGCCTAGGCAGTGAAAATGTTTATTTAAAACATTAACTGAAATAATTATTTTCACTACAATTGAAACATTTTAATTATAGTTTTTGTAACATTTTTTGGAAACATTTTCAAAATGTTTCTGAAACATTTATGTAATTGCGGCACAATTTAATTCATTTAGTAACTTTAAGAGTATGTTGTGAGAATGATTTTAGAACATTCAGTTGAATGTGTTTTCTTTTTTTAAAGACTTCATTTTTCATTGCTGCTGTTATTTTCAAAATGTTCTTAAAACATTCAAATAATGTATGATTGCGATTTTCCTAAAATTTAGTTTATGAAGAAAAAAAAGAATATATAGAAAGAATAGTGTTAAAATGAGGAATTGTAGTAATTGTTTAATTGAAAGATTTTTCCGGTATTTTATAATGATTTCTAGTTTTGGCTTATTGATTAAACAGACATAATTTTCGAAAAAAATCAATAAATGAAAGGATAGGCAAACAAAAAAATTTAAAATGTAAATAAATGTATAAAATCATAAGCATTAAATAAAACTCTTAATGTCTTTTTAAAAAATGTTCTTCATCAAATCTGTGATCCACTCCCAGAATTTTACTCTGAGGCATTAGATAGGGATTGGCACACTGGTCAGTTTCAGTGTCATGATAACCTATTATGCAATTCTCCTGCTGGGCAGCGCGTTACAGAGTATAGTGGTTTGCTGCTTATCTAGGCCAAATTTTGAATTCTGGTAAACAAGATGTGCGCGCTTACTCCGTGCCGATTTGAATGAGAAGACTTTGCATCATATAAACCACAATAATAACCTCGGGATTTATTAACTTTGAATGGTAAGAATTATTCCTTTATCATAGACTTTAAAAGATCATTTAAAAATGGCTTTTTTACTACCAGTGCATGATCAATAACTTTGTACAAATGTATGTAGCAATGACAAAGCGTTAAGGTTATATACATCATGTTACATGTATTTGATTTGAATATTTCATTCTTAAGGCAAAGCAATTATATCCTTGATTCAAGTATTCGTTGTCTTTGTGAAATGTTAATCATTAAACAATATGTTGATTTAAAAATGAAATTTCTTTACAGCATGGTGTTGGTTGCATCATCCGTATTTTCAAATTCCCACATTCAAAAGACCCGCCTTTGGTGAAGGCAAAGGTGTACGTAAATACTATTACTCTTCAAGTAATTATTTTTCTGCTTTTTTCAATGCAAATGAGGAAAGAAATTAAATTTGATATAATTATTTAAAATATTTTTTGTATATTTTCATTGATCATCTTAAGATACATTAGATATAGAACGCTCATACAAACACAATTTTCCTTATCTTTACAGATTGGGCTATTCTTTCCGAGGGGCAGATTCCTTATCAGCCTTTTCAGTGTATGTGATTATAGATCCGCCGCTCTGTTCTACCTATATAGTGAACATGGTGAACATAGGATTTCTGTGATTCTGTTCTTTAAAAAATTCAGTGAATGGATTAGACGCCGTTTTCAACCTTTAAAAACACGGTGACTTGAAAGAAAA